GTGAAAAAAAAAAAGTATGAATAACCTGATGGCAGCGATCGCACTGATAAGGCTTTTCTCCGCTGTGCACCCTCTTGTGCCTGTCCAGGTGGTAACGCTGAATGAACCGCATATCACAAGCATCACACGCAAATGGCTTTTCCCCTGGAAAACAAAACAAAGCCCACACACGGGGAAAATGAATTTAATCATCGCTGATTTCACACGCATTTCACAAAAGACATCTAAATCTAAATTGTCTGGAGACACCTCTTTGATGAGAAAAGGGGTGCAAACAAAAACATAAAAGGCAAAAACACACTTTTGGCAATTCTAACGAGCTTAATAATTGATATTAGATATGACCAGCGTTTTTCAACTGAACTCTCTTAGACAAGCACTCTTGTCATTTCTTTATGCAGTCTTCTTCTTCAAGGACACACAAAGCTCTGCTTTGGATGTTGGCTGCTTTTTGTTCCGTTCGCTGTCAACATGATCCACACTGCGTCAGTAATGTTGAGGCCAATCCGAGACTGACAGTGTTGCATTGTGCGTTTTTTGTGCTTTTACTGCATTGGCTGTCAGTTTGGGATTATTGAAGCCACTACCAATGAGATCATTTTAAGATGGTAATGTATGGTGGATCAAAATCTGATGTTACTTCTCTGCTTTCAAAATTCCATCAATTTTAAGGAGATCTGCAACAGCAGTGACTGAAACGCAGCCCCAAACCATGACAGAGCCTCCACTGTGTGTTAAAGATAGCTTCAGACACTCTGCTGACCTCTCTGTGACCTACTCTGTACATTCTGATGACAATTTGAAACAACAATTTCAAATATGGATTATTTGAAATTGTTTTTCAAATTGATTTTCTCTCCATTCGCCCTCCTAAAGAATCTAATCTCGACACCCAGCCTTCCACCAATTTCACTTCTTGTTCAGCAAACAGTTCAGAGAAGGTTCAGATGCATCTGCCGGGTCCTGTGTCAGGTCTTCGCTGGATTTGTCTTCCATTTTCTTCATGAAATGACTTTCAAACACTGTTCGTATGCTACAGATAGATTTTTAGGACTACCATCTTTTGTTTTCCACCTTTGCAGTTTCCTCATTTTTTCCAGTAAATAGCCTTTTTTTGGGAAAGACCTGTTTGGTCTAAATACTGTTTTATGCTTGTCAAGCTGTGTCATTACTGGCCTTTTTTAATAGATTCAACTGAAGAAATGGGAACAAATGACATGATTTCAAAGACACTATTTAAATTGGTTCTTTCCTAAGCTGTCTGTTATGTGTAGACATGACAGGGGTTTATTCTTGAGCTAGATGCCCTTTTCATGCTTTAATGATTCATACTCAGTGTTATGTGGCTTAACAAAGGAAAGAAACCCCACTCCTCTGAAAATCAACTATGAGGACTATACTGAAAATGAGTGAAAAAGCATCGATGTCCAAAGAAAAACTTGGAAAGACTGGAGAGCTACTGCTCCGCCTTCTATAGCCCATTGTAAAAGATTATAACAAAACGTGGCTCCTCAGAAGCAAATTATAAAGAAAGTGATGGCAAGATTTTTTGCACATTACTTTAGTATGAGTCTTATAATCGAGTTACAAATTAGGACCAATGCAGAACTCAGATCAACATACAAACTTAGAAGAAGAAGAAACGTGGAAAAGACACATTTTACAAACTTGTCAACCAACCCCTGAAAACGCATCAAAACTGGTTAAAGGAGCAAATACTAAAAATAAAGGAAGTTGGTGGGTGTTTTTAAGCTTATTCTGAGCAGATGGGCTATGAGGAAACATCTTCACAAAGACTTACCTAGTTGACATACAATTCAACATAAAATAAATAAAAAAATAGTCCAATTGAAGTAAAGAGGTGAGGGTAAGTTCTCACCTGTGTGTGTAAGAATATGCCTCTTAAGGTGGTAGCTGCTCCGGAAAGCTCCATAGCAATGATCACAGATGAAGTTCTTCTGGACTTTCAATGAGCTGTCGTCATCCATATCAACTGATGGAACTAAATGCTATAAACGTGAAGACAATTAGATGAAATTAACTTAAGAGCAACAGTCTGTTCACTTTCTAATTTCAGTATAATTTTAACCTTTCTTTACCTCCACTTTTACTTTGTTGGCTAAACCGGATTTTTTGTGTTTCTTCTTGGGCTGCATATTCTGGTTTGCCTGCATGCCCTTTCCCTCAATTATCCTTGATGTATGATAATCTCCATCTTTCCGGATGAGCTTTTGAAAGATGAAAAAATGTGACAACAGGCTTCTGTTAAATGCTGGTTTGCAACCTGTGTACATTTGTCAACCAACGACTTAAATTGGCTTATAAAAGCAAAACTGTGAAATAACATCAGCAGACTTAAAGTGAGTTATTTCTTCATGCAAAATAAAGACGCATCTCTCACCAGGGGTGGGCAGCTCCCAGTTGATGGATGGCCCATGTGGCTGTGATGTGGCTGTCCATGGTGCACCTGGTGGCTGTGGTGGTTCTGGCTATGCTGCGAGTGGGTTTGGTGGCTTTCAGGACTGGTCCTTTGCCCCTGACCCAAGGGTGACATCATCTTCTTTTGGCCTGGGATGTTGTTGGCTTGCATTAGGGCCATGCTGGACAGCACTGCCTCGCAGCCCAGCAACCCAGCCTAACAATACAAGCAAAATGTCGTTTTGAAAAAGAGGAGATTGCAGGACTCCTCACGCAGCGAGGCATCAGAAGGAAGGAGAGGGGGACTGAACAATGGGAGTAACGGATACATGCATACGATAAAACCATGATCGTGATCTTGAGATGAAGAGACTTCCACTGACCCATTTCATATGGTCTCGAACAGAATTGCTGGAATGGTGTGTCATCGCCGTGCTTTGAATGCGTGTGTGTTTGTGGGGACAGAGGGGCTTCACTCGGGATGAGGGGTGACAGATGAGACTACACCCTCCAAAATCATCAGGGGCAAAAGTCTGAAAATAAAGGCATATGCATATATGACTAAAAATGTATGTGCAGCTTTAATACGTGCTGTCTATCAGGCAGGAAAGCACCAGTTGCTCGGTACATGGCTGACAGAAAACACAACAATAAAAGGTAAAATGAGAAAAATGATGGAGATGAGGAAAAAGCTCGTTATGCACAATGCAACTGTGTAAATAATACATTAACCAAACAAATCCTTCAATAACAATAGCCAGTAGTTGAATATAGAAATGATGCTTCTTTTTAAATGGTTTGCAATGCACTTTAGTCCAAGTGTAATGAAACACACACCTGTATCTACCTCATACAGCTGCAGTAATAAAAAAAACATCCTAAATGAAGCAGGAATTTGTTTGAAAGTCTTTTTCATGCACATGAAAGAGAAAATTAGAAATCACATTACAAACATGTTAAATCAGTGTGGATTTTTAAATAATTACATTTATCAAAATATGTTTAAATCTGATTATGTTTTGTGTGTTTGTGAGAATTAATATCAGCGGATGTTTTAAAATGAATTTTAAAATAACAAGATATAAGTATTAGTCTTGAAAACCCTACACACAAATGTGGCTATTAAATCAAATCAAATCACTTTTATTGTCACATCACATGTGCAGGTACACTGGTACAGCACATGTGAGTGAAATTCTTGTGTGCGAGCTTCACAAGCAACAGAGTTGTGCATAACTACAATAACGTAAAACAAGCAAAATATAAGAATGGCTACATCTGAGACTAATAAATATATGTACAATATATAATAGTATATGCATTACTGATTACAAAGAATATGAATGACGCTGCTTCTGTCATACATGTAAAGGCCATAAATACTGTAAAAACCAAGCTACTAGGAGGTCGGTATAGCTCATTGGGTTTGGGGGGGTATATGTATATGCAGTGGCTTAGGTTCCAGTCTGCCTTGAACCCTGTGTGCTGTCCTGCTCTCTTACCCTCCTTTCTTGTCTGTTCTACCTGCATTTAATACTCGTGTATTAGATAATAAAATACATACAGCAGCTTCCCAGTCAGGTCAAAAGCTGGTGCTAGAAGTACTTAAATGATGAATGCATACAAACATGCACAATAAATGGCACGATTACTGCATGATCTATTATGTTAATGTAAAGGGGGCTCTTTCGACGACCCAAACCCACCCATACAGAAAACTCCATAATACGGGCAGAGATTTTTATTTTAATTGATTCAACCACATCTATTATTGGAAAACGCTTTGTTTTGCGATTCATTTGTAAGCTGGTGGGTTTATTCTCTGATCGATCTTACAAAGATCAAACAGTTAGCAGCAGTTAGCTAGCAACGTATCCCAGCTTTTTTTGGGGGGGAGAGAAAGTAAGAGGTTTATTTTTCCGCTGGGGACACGGGACAGACAGCTTTGTGTATTTCCGCGGGGGTCTGTATGAAAGTGTGCCTGAGAGTCCCCGCTGAATGAACCGAAAGCAGAGAGCAGCTAGCCAGCCCGGAGTTGGATTTTGGGACAACTCTTGTGTGAGTGAGCGCCCACCCCACCCCCCGCCCCGGACAGCACAACAACAGGCAGGGCGTGCAGGCTCCGCGCCGACCTCAAAATAACGCCGCCCTCGCGAGCTACAACTGCTCCAAACACACGGGCAGCAGAAATAAAACGTGTACAGAGCCGCGAGCGACGTGCTGCACACTCGACCGCTTACCTTTCGCTTTTCACAGTGCTGAAGATTAATATTTCTTGTCGCACTTCCAATTTTTTCTCAGTTTACAAACACTGACAGGAAACACCACCGGAAGTGCTCCCCGGGGAGAGTCCTGATTGGTCGTACGACAAGACACGTGACCGAAGCGGACTGACCCAGATTTGCGGCCATAACTGTAAGGTGTGCTGCAGAAGTTTTGTTTCAAGGCTTTGTGTCTGGCAGACTTTATAAATATTACATTTTGACTGAGAATACTATTTCTACACAAAGAAAGTAATTTTTTTGCTTAAACCTAACCAAATAATTGAATAATTAATCCATTACAAGACCAAACGCAGGTTCTCAGAGGTGACGATTTGTTTTATTGTTTGTTGTACATTACACTTACAGAAAGACATTGTGACCCTGAACTGCTTTTCTGAGTAAAAACAAAAAACAAAACAAAAGCCCCCAATCATTTTTCTTGGAATCAATAAAAAAATAATAAAAATCAGTAATTAGTTAGGTATAAAATGTAAAGGGTAGGCATTTGCCAAAAATGTTTTAAACTCCTTTACAATAAAGAACATGGTGATATAAAGTTTGTAATACCAAGTAACCTTTATTTATTTATTTAACAGCTGTTGGAATCTAGGAAATCAGATATTGAAATGAACACAATTTGACTTGTTTGTTGTTATTTGTAAAATTACAATGACCAGCATTAAACGCACAATCACATTTTCTGAAGGGCAAGGTGTTCACTTATGGGCTTTGTCACAGGTCCTTTCCAAGTCTTTCAATTTCATCAAGGAAGAAGTCCATGTCTTTCTGGGACAGTAGGGGAGAGAATACAGTCACACGGAAAAAGTTGACCTTGTTTCCCAAAGGCTGGTAGCCGACCATCATAGTGCCTTGCTTCATCATACGTTCCTTGATGACAGGAGCTACCTTTTAGCAAGAAAACAATACACAGAATTAACTGTACATTTCAGATAATGGGCACACTACAAAAAATGAAGATGCCACATCTAAGTACATGTCAATATGTGTGCAACGGAAGGAATAAAATATCTCAAATGTGGCGGCTTATTCTTATTCAGCAACAGACAAACTTACTTTTGCCAGTTTCTCCTGGTAATCTTCAGTTCCTTCCTTCCCTCTCAAACTCGGTGGTATGAACCAGAAGCAGACATTCACAAACTCTGGCTGTCCGCAGAGACAAATGCAAGCATGGTAATGGCATTTTGCAGGTAAAAAACTCAGGTATGCTTTATGAAAAATGTATGAAATTACCATGCTCAAAAGCTGGAACCCCTCTCTTTTCTTCATCTGCTCCACCAGATATCTGCAAGAGAAAAATTTAGCAAAAAACCCAAAAAGTAACCATATTTAAAAAAAACAAAAACAAATCATATTTCTAACATATTAGACATAATTTATTAGTTAGTGAAAACCAAGAGAAAGACAACTGGTTTCAAGGGGTCTTAACTGGATGTGTAAGGCTGATCTTCTGTTAGAATGAGACAAATCTGACTTTACGACTTTACTTGAAGCTCGCCCTGTGACACATCCTTTATTTACCTTGCATGAATAAAAGCCTTGTCTACACGCTCTTCTAAGCCCATGGAGCCAACAGCTTTCCACATCAACCACAGCTTCAGACAGTCCACCTTGCGGCTGCACTGCACAGACTTATCCCCAATGTCCAGGTTCACATCGTAGAACTTATCTTGCTGGAAGAGGTATGTGGCATTGGCACTGTGGCACTGTTTCAACAAATTCTGGAACAAAGTCAATGATTGTCAAAAAACGTCCAAACCCAAACTTTATGATTAATAATTCTGCAGCCTTTAAATTGTGAAGCCAAACCGTGGTGTCCTTCAGGAGTAAAGCAGAACACTGCAGGCCAGCCACCAGCATCTTGTGGGGATTCCATGCTACTGAATTTGCTCTTGTTATACACAGAAACAAACTCTAATCAACATCACAGCCTTACACTGTATCTCCACTCATGTACAAGCTCATGTACATTTTAATACCTGTCAACTCCTTTCATCAGATGTCTGTGTTTCTTAGAAAAAGGCACGCTCCCTCCCCAGCAAGCCTGACAAAAAAAAGATAAAAGATTCTCACAAGGTTCACAAAACCAAGTCTCGTCAACACACATCAGTCTTCCACAAGTGCACTCACATCTACATGCATCCACAGCTTGTGTTTATCACAAATATCAGCTATGTGATCCAGCGGGTCAAACACACCCTGCACTGTGGTCCCTGACATGCAGCTTACAAGAAATGGGACTGCACCCTAATGGAAAACACACAAAAATACAATTAGAGTCAGGAGATGATGATTAAAAGCTACATGTTACATTTGATGAAAACTAGCTAAACATCAGCAAATCTACCTGAGATTTGGACAGCTCTATTTTTTCATCCAGATCCTCTGGAATCAGACGACCTCTGCGGCACAAGAGACAGCATTTAATTAGATGAAAGGTATTATTTTTACTTGGCACAACTCCAGGTTACAATAGATCAAGGTGTAACAATTATTTCAATACAGAACATGAATCTATTATTTACAGCCCCAATCAAAAGTTTAAGATCACTTGAAAAATGGCAACTCTGTTGTGCCTGAAAACGGCCTGTTTCATTTTAAGCGTTGTTTTCAATATTTTGAAATTGCTTTGTCTCACTCCCATTTCTTCTTGTTGCATTTTGAAGCTCTACTTGGAACCTTGTTAAAATCCGACCATGCAAAATATGATTTTTTTTTGGCCATTTTTCTAGTGTATTTGGAATAATTATTGAGTCTATAGAAAAGGTCATATAACATCTGCAAGTTGAGTTTTATGAGCATTCGTTTTGCAATTGTATAAATTAAGGACAGGATTAAATTCAATTTCTTTAATGCTCAATAACTTCTTTCAGCAGGCAACTGATAACAAGTCATCCAAAGCATCCAAGATGGCAGCGCACACGGACGCAGCAGCTTCAGCCTCTCCAATTAGGCGTTTTCCTTTCTGCAACGCAAAACTTACCTACAGTCATCTGGAATTATGCAACATCGGCTATAACAGCCAGATCCCCGTTACCAGTGATTATCAGAGGATCAACAACATCCCCCCGGAGATAGCGAGAACACCGGGCGCTCCGTGGATTGTTATCGGCTCTGCCAAGCAACCCAGGCGGCGGACAGGACGCAAAAAAAAGCGGGGTTGCCGGTCAGGCGTGCGAGCCAGGCTAAAGAAGCAGCCTTTTAAACCACCGCTTCCAAGCATCTTCCTGACCAACGCACGCTCGATCGTCAACAAAACAGACGAAGTGAACCTACTTCTCCCCGCACAGCCACTCGTCCGCGACTGTTGTGCCTTGGTCGTCACAGAGACGTGGCCACAAGAGGAAATTCCCGACGCCTCGATGCAACTAGCGGGCCGCACAATGCACCGCAGCGACGGAAAGGCTACAGCAGGTGAAAGCAGAGGTGGAGGTTTGTGCATTTACACACATAACAACTGGTGCACAAACACCAAGATAATCACCACAGTCTGCTCCCCGGACATAGAGACGATGTCTGTCGTGTGCAGACCCTTTTACTTGCCTAGAGAACTGCCTGTAGTGCTAATCACAGCAGTCTACATACCTCCAAACGCTAATGTTAGCTCAGTCCTGGCCCACCTGCACGACTCGATCTCTGAACAGCAACGGAGATATCCAGAGGGAGTACACATCATCGCAGGGGATTTCAACAAAGTGTGCTTAACAACCGTGCTGCCTGCATTTGTTCAACATGTGACATGCCCTATGAGAAGGAATAACACACATGTTTACTCAAATATCAACCAGGCCTACAGATCTGTTCCCCTCCCACACCTGAGCATGTCCGACCACCTCTCTCTGCTTGTTGTCCCCTTATACACACCACTCAGTAAAAGGACAAAGCCCACAATCAGAACTATTAGCACCATTTCTGCGGAAGCTCTGGCTCAGCTGCAGGACTGTTTTGCCCTCACAGAGTGGAGTGTCTTTGAACATGACGACCTAGAGACTCACACAGCTGCAGTGCTGGGTTACATCATGTATTGCATTGACACTGTCACCACGGAAAAGCGGTTCCGCGTCTACCCCAACCAAAAACCCTGGATGTCGAGTAAGGTTCAGGCATTGTTAAAGGCACGTAACTCTGCATACAAATCTGGGGACCAGGACATGTACAGAAGAGCAAAAGCAGACCTTAAAAAAGGCATCAGAGCAGCAAAACTGGACTATTCGAGTAGACCGTCAGATCAGCTCTCAGATAACGACCCCAGAAAGGTATGGGAGGGCCTGAAACACTTCACCAATTACAAAGGCAGTGGGACAAATGCAGATAACATGGACATCTCATTAGCAGAAGAACTAAATAACTTATTTGCCCATTTCCAGAGAACTGTAGACACCCCTACCGTGCACACCGCCCTGCCCATAGCCTCTGATCACAGCCCACACACATTTACCCTTCAAGAACTCCAGGTTCACAGTTTGTTCAGAGCAGTAAATCAGAGGAGAGCTGCTGGCCCTGACGGAATACCTGGGAGAGTGCTCAAAGTCTGCGCTGACCAGCTGGCTCCTGTGTTCACCAGGCTATTCAACCTCTCCCTGTTACACTGTCCCTCACTGCCTGAAATCTGAAACAAAAGTCCCAGTCTCCAAGTCCACCATGCTCCCACCCAGCTTTGGTCCACCGAGGATATAATTTCCACTGCCCTCCATTCTGTTCTGCATCACCTGGAGAATCCTGGGACTTCAGTGAGGATGCTCTTCATTGATTTCGCTCGGCTTTCAATACCATCACCTCAGACACTCTTGGACTACAAACACATCCGCCTTAGTGAAGAAAGCCCAGCAACGCCTCCATTTCTTGAGGGTCCTGAGATGGAACAGGCTGCAGACTAGTGTCCTTCTACCGAGCCACAATTGAGAGTGTGCTGGTGCACACTGAAGAGACTCCAGAGGGTCATCAGAACTGCAGAGAAGGTGATCGGCTGTCCACTCCCCTCCCTGGACTCCATTGCCACCTCTAGATGTCTCTCTAGAGGCATGGCAATTATAAAGACCAACTTCGTCCTAACCACCACCAATTCAACATCCTGTCCTCTGGAAAGTGGTTCAGATCCATCAGGTGCAAAACATACAGACTAAAGAACAGCTTTACAGGGTTCTTATTATGATGCCCATGTATACACCCCCAACAGTGAATAATGTAACTAATACATTGTGTATATAGTGTTTTTATATTCTTCTTTATATATTTCTTTACTTTTGCACCTTTGTGGTCTTGCTACCTACTTTCTCTGTGCAAGCAACTGTACAATGACAATTAAAAAGTTCAATTACCTGTCGTCCACTTTCACAAAGATGATGTTGTCCAAACCAATCCCCAGAAATGCAGCGCCTTTCTTTACAGAGTAATGGCTCTGAAAAAACACAAGTATGTCTGTTTCAACAGTGTCATGAAGTTAGAAATAAACCTGATGAAGCTTCCATTGCATCAACAATACACCTTGACAAACAGGTGAACAGTCGCCCTCACCTCTGGAGATGTAAAGATGCTTAGCCGTGGGAGAGCCCACACCCCTTGGCTTTTGACCTCTGGGAAGCGTTGATAGCGTGCGAGGTTCATGGCATACATGTTGGAGGTTGAGCCCCCCGGACAGAAAATCCCATCACCCTCTGTCCAACCAACCAGCTGACGTAGGCCCCTGAGGACCTCGTTCTCCATCAGCACAAAGACTGGGGCTGCCTCATAGGTGAAGCTGCAGTTGTCACAGAAAACGTCTGATCATGTTATTTGCTGGATTAGCCTCGTCTTCATTTTATCTTTCAGTTTGTAAATCTCTGCAGCGCTGCTCTATGAGTCAGGAAACCTTCCTTGCTTACGAACCAATATATAAAAAACCCACAACATTGTGAAATATGTCATCAGTATTGGTGCCAAGAAGCACCACTCAAACAGTGCACCCAAACATCCCTTTGAAACACTTTGACTTTATATTTTTGCACATGCTTTCTAATAAATTCGGTTTATTAAACACTGATACACTAAAAATATGCAAAATACCTAAAATAACCTCACTGTTGGAGGTTATTCTTTCTGCTTATTCCTATTTCTAGAGTATTTCTACAGTTTGCTACCAAAGCAGAAACTCTGATCTCCTTTGATCAGTGCCTAACACATTTTATTGTTCAATATTCTTACAGCCTTAACCTTCCATCCCCTCAATATTTATCTTATCTGCTCCTTCTTACAGATTAGTGTTGAGAGCCTCAGTGAGGAATCTTCCAGCCAAGGAATGATAGTCCACCCCACCGTACTGTTGATTAAAAAAATGTGGGTGACCTGAAATTAACAAAAGAAATAGTCCCTTCAAGATCGGACAAGTGCCTGTTTGTTTAGCTCATTTTTCTACTTACTTGTTTTGACGCTGTACTTGGCAACATCTCTTACTCTCTGGAGGAGCTTGTCCCGTGGCTCTCCTGTCTCTCTCACCCCCAAATCCAGGAGCAGAGCCAGCTCCTCGGGCTCTTTCCACTCACAAACCTGCACGAGGAAAGTGTGGATTATGAAGTTTGTTAGCTACCGCAGACAGGGAAACTATTTTGTGCTTCACAAGATACCTTCTGTTTGACATCTGTGCCATTGGAGAGCACTTCCTCCATAATAATTTTGAAGGCTTCATTTAAGAAGAACTGGCCTTCAGCATGGTCGATGAGAGGCTCATTCAGGTCACGGAGACTAGCTTGTTCCATTATCTCTTATGTGCTGTTTAAAAAAACATGAATACTTTTAAATTCAAAAGGTGTGATAAGAAACAGACACATGGTGCAAACTTCATACTACTAACCTGAGAATGGAGACGGGTTTGTGCTGCTCTGAAACCAGACTGCAGAAAATGGCTACAAAGCAAAGGTAAGGTGGCAAGAGAGGGAGGGAGGCAACCTTTGTCCCACACTTCTAGTTAATGTTATCTGAGCTGAGAAAAGACAATGGGGCACACACATACACTCAACTGTGATTTATGGGCTCACAAAAGTTCATTTTTAGAAGGTCAATATGCTTTAGTAAGTCATAAGTCATGTATAGCACTTTAATGGATAAAACTTTTGTGGATTCATGAAATGATTCTCATCAGTTCACAACAAAGAGCATCAGATTAGCTTGTGGGTGAACATTGTTAAAGGCAGTCGTTTTACTGTGATGAGTTATGGAGTGTTATGCAATAGAGGCTGTATATCTGCTCTGATATGCATGAGAAGGTGAATGAATCTTAAAAGACACAAGTCAGCCTCTACAGAAACTCTATGAAACATCAATGCAGGAGCAAAGCGATTCCCAGATTGCTCAGACAGAAAACCTTCATAGCTTTGCAGAAAAGAACTCCTAGGATTGCTTTGTTCCCAGTTATGGCTTCTTTTCTTCTTCCAGCTGTGATTTTTATTTATTTACCTTTTTAATGAGCAGCAACAGCTAACGTTTAGGAGAAGTTTGCAGCTAGTCAAGGATGAATGTACGGTCATCAGCCACCTCAATAGGTACACCCGTTCAACTGTTCGTCAATGCAAATGTCAGCCAGCACTGAGAAAAATGTAACTGATGTAATCAACACGTACCAGTGGGGTGACAGCATTACCCCATCATTCTTTTATGGCTGAGGGGTAAAAAAAAGCAAAAAAAAGAAAAGGATTTATATAGTCTCTTATGTTTCTGGGACATTCAGTGATGCTTTCGTCTGTGGCTGAACTTGCTGATCTGGTTACTCTGGTGATTAAATTCAAATACCAAAAAACCCCCAAACATTTACACACCAGTTTATCAGCCTTCAACTCGATTTCACACCATTTTCTGTCCAGTCATCTGTGCCCCATTTGCAGTGGCTCAATTCTTAAACACTGGTTAAAAAATTAAAAATAAAATATTGTTTATTTTATGGCAGTTGAACGAGTAATACAACAATTACAAAGAGTTATTTCAAGTGGTACTAAGGTTCTCCTGCTTCTGTCCTTTGCAGATGTTTTCCATGAAAGAGTTTTGAAAATGTTCTTTTCTCTGCTGCTTCATGTGGACCGCTGAGCTTCATCCCTAAGATGAATAATCCCAACATAAAAAGAAAATACCGTTCAAATGAAGTAAGTACAGCTTGCTTTTCATTATCTTCTCAAATGAAAGGTGAATAAAAATCATACTACAGATACCACAACAGAAAACAGACATAAAAGCAACTCTTGTAAGAGATTTCATGAGGCAAAACTTCTATGACTTTCCTACGATAATTGTTAATGCATCATTTAAAAATGTACAGTATAAAGTACAGTAGTGCTAAATGCAGAGTAGTAAACAATAAAATCTTGTTCTTGTTTAAGCCCTGATATTTATGATCTGACTTGTCAGTAAAAACATTTCCTTTATACTCCAAGCAAGTAATCAGTCAGTCTTCAACAGGAAGTCGATGCTTTCAGGTGGCAACATCCACTCTCCCTGACTGAGAAGTGAATGCAGTTGAGTGGGTGTGGCTTTTTCCCTCTGTGAGTTACGCCAGTGACGCAGCATGGCAAAGACTCGCTCCACATGGAGATTATGGTCCTCTTCGATTTGCTCCAGTTTTACAGATGAGATTTCCAGAGCTTCTCTGCCAATCGCCCTCCAAGATTTGCCGATGGTACGGGCCACAGACATCAGCTGTTTCTCACTCACCATGCCAGAGCCTGTGGGATGAGGCCGTTAAAGTATGTGACTGTTTTACAGAGTTTGACAGTGGAATATATTTCAGTGCATTGCCACTCACCATTGTTGCAGATCCTTTTGTTTGGAATGACATCTGGTATCTCAGGCGCTTGTTTTCTTTTTTCTGAGGTTTCTTTCCCCCCTTGGAAGTGAAAAAAAATCTTTATATTTATAGATCAGAAATAGAAATCTAACTGGAATAAAAGATTGCTGAAAACGAGCAAATTTTAACCTACCCGAGGACCGTGTGTTGACTTTCAGTTTGTTAATAAAGTCAAGCCTTGGGAAGGTTTCTTGCAAGGCGTTATCCTTGAAAAGCTCCAGTAGTTCTTTTGCTGCTTCGGGACCTCTCTGTATGACGTGATCCAAAAGCTCTGTCACTTTTTCACTAGGAGTGCGGCAAGATTTCACGTGCTGGTAGGCGTGAAGAGGCAGCAGACGGCGAGCATCTGCATGCTGGAGTACAAAGTCAGGATCGGCACTTAGGATTTCTATAAGCTTTGGCTTCTGACTTCTGAGTAGCTGGATTTCCTCTCCTGATTCCTCAGCCATGACTGATTTAAATCAACTCCTGGCAAAACAAGTTGATGAAGACCTCTTTTAATAAAAGTATATGTGACATGTCCAACGAACTCAACCAAAAACCTTTTGACTAAATTAAACTTTCAAAAAAGTAAACAGCTCCAATATCCATCCATTCTCCAACATTTGTAGTGGTAATAATTGTAGCTGTGACGCTATTCTGCTAAATGTGCTGCAGACAGCAGGGAGTGTATTGGAACCAGAGTCAGGGTCCCTCTGCTGGTCAAATAGGCAATGACAGCATGTCTACATTCCCACAAGCATTCATTGCCTTCTCATTATTTTAAAAACAAAAAGTTTTCAAGTTGCTGCATGACCGATAACATGTGCATCAATGCTTATATATCTGTTCTAAGCCAATACTAGCCAATTACATTGCTCACTTGATATATATCTATCAGGCTCTAATGCAACACTTAATTGTTGTGCACATGCCTGCATAATCACTGCTAAACTTATTCCTGGCTGCCTTTTAATTTACGTGGCTATGGAAAAATGTGATATTCTCATATTTATTTTAATGACTCATTCAAGTCTCTCCAATAATCCAGTGGATGAAGAATGTACAATGGGAAATATTCAAGACTGTTTAAGATATCTAATGAATAAATGTTTCAATTTTGCAGCTACTTTTTTAGTATATAAAACTGTAACATTTAACATAAATTAACATGTAATATGTTATGTTATATGTTATAACGTGTTGAAAACCACAATCTCTGATGACAACCTCTGACAAAATAAACTCACCGGCCACTTCACTGGGTATACTTGTGTGACTGATCCTTAACTCAAATATTTAATTAGCCAATGATATGGTAGAAACTCAGTGTATTTAAGTATGTAGATACAGTCAAATTCAACCTCAGAACAGGGAAGAAAGTTTGGGATTTTCCCACAAATCCATGTTACATTCCTCTAAAAGTCGAGGGGATGCAGGGAAGTAACAAAAAGTATCTAGGTTGGGGCAAAAAAGAGACAAGGAGGCAAAAATATAGATGAAATAAAGTTTTTTTTTTTAAATTAATAACTATACTAAAGAAGACAGACAAGTCACTATAAGCATCAAAAGATTTAATGCATAAGAGCACATCAAAAAGGTTAAATGGTTAAAAATGCCCTCTGCTCCACAGAGCAGGCATATGCAGTTAAGCCATACGCAACTCAGCTCACTACAAAGGCTCTCCAGGACTGGAGCTCACCTGATCCCTGATCTTAAGTACTCAACGCCTAATTGTTGAATAGAAAGGACAGCAGAGAAAGGGCAGCATCTACGGCTGGAAAGAGAGCAAGTCATGCCCGGCCATGGCCCTAACAAGCCATCTTTAGAATTTACAGAGAAAGATCAGAAACAGAGAAAGTATCACGTGAGTGGCAGTTCTCAGAGATTAAAATTGCTGTGAGGAAGGCAATACTAGCTCAAATAACCACTCATTACAACCACCATTTGCATCGGGTCATTGAAATGATTTAATAGAAGACTATAAAACATTGCCTGATCTGATGAGTCTCAATTTCTGCTGCGACATTTGGATGGTAGGTTGAGAATTTGGCAAAAAGACAATAAATTATGAATTTAGGCACCTTGTAGTGGTGGAGAGCCTACCTATACAACATCTCAAACTGGTTAGTTGAACATGTCATGAGTTCACAGTACTCAAACAGCCGCCACAGTCACCAGATCTCAATCAAACAGATCACCTTTGGGACGTGGCAGAATAGGAGAGATGCATCATGGATACGCGGCAACTGTGTGACGCCATCACGTCATTATGGACCAAAATCTCTGAGGAATGTTTCAGCACCTTGTTGAATCAATGATACGAGGGGATCCCACCCACTGCTAATGAAGTGAGTGGTGAGTGTATTTCACACTGTGATACACGGGAGTTGAATAGTGCTTATCTTATCTTATCTGTAGCTTCGGACATGAAGAAAATTAAGTGGCATTAATATTTTTTTCCGTTCAAGCATAGACCAGTAACTGTAGCATTGTTCAAATAAGCGTTAATACTGATGTACACAGATCAGAAATCACAGCACAATCACTTTATCAACTTTTTTTCTTTGCCTACGTGACACGACCACGTGCTTAGAGTTTATTACTTTCAGTGCGTGAAGGACGCAAAGCCTTTGTTCTACATCCAGCACTTCAATTCGAAACCCCTTTAATCTCTGCACTTCCTGGGTTTGTGTGGCATCTGTGGTCGATCACTTCCAGATGCGCTTTACAGACTCGCTTTCATGCCCCAAGCAGGCTACAGGCGGAACGTATTTGTGCTTTTCTCTTACCATTTAATGCAACAGCCCCAATAACACAGATGGTAAACAAACGCAGCTTTTAGCCGACAAACAGGAGACGCGTCACAAGTTCACCATCGCTTCTTTTCTCCCGCTGCTTTTCCTTCCTTATTTTATCCGGTCAAATCATTTCCGGTTATTCCTTTCACTAGCATTTTATTTCTGTTTGCTTCCATCCAGTGGGTGGATGATTTAACTGCAGGAAACCGCCCCAGCTCTGAGCATTTAGCGTCACCTGGTGGAGATGCTTACGCATTGCACTGCAGTGACAGAAGTGTTCTATAATCTTAAATTATACTTAATTTAAAAAAAGTATATAAGACTTTATTATGAAACAGAGACATTTCAATGAATACAAAAGGAAGTGACTAAACGAATTATATGGGAGGCATGAAAAAAGAAATACCTCAGGTTATTAAGGAGAATAAGGCAAAATTTGCACAAAAACCTCTGCTTTAAAAGCTCTAGATTTTCTATGTTATAAAGAATAATGGCTATAAAAACAATATACACAGCCACTGCATATGCACAATGCAACACAAAGCAACAGAACTTAAAGTGGATATAAATAATGCAGCATGTCTAATGATAATTTCTTTAGTACAAAAATGAAAAGCAGCAGGGGAGGACAAAATATGTATGTTTAGTTTATTTTGTTTCTTTAAAATTAGCTCAAATTCTGTGGCCAGAAAAACAAAATACACTCACTGCAGCTAAACTGTAAACTAAATAGCTTCTCCACCTGGGCGCCTCCTCAGAGCAAGAATCTCTAACTCTCACGTCGACACGGAGAAATGTGTTGCTGGTAATATTGTGAAAATGGAACGCTGTAAACATGGGAATAAATATTTGATTGTTTTTGGTTGAGCAGAGTCGGCTCGTTGCGTGCATACCAAATAGAACGTGTGCCTGTGTGTGTTTATTGGATGTGCGCACTTGCCAGGTATCATGAATGATGATCTACATTACAGTACATCCAAGTTTAATGTATCAAAAGGCACCTGACTGTTATTGGACAACAATTATCGGGAATCACCAGTCACACATCTGCTCAGCCTATTTACAAAGCTCCAGCTCTGGGAAATGACAAATCAATATCTTATTCCTGAACAGATATTTGCTTTGTGTGAGTGGAAAAGCCTCTCGAGCCCATTTCATCCATACACAGTATACACTCTGAGTCACTGTGTGTATTGGTTGTCTGAATAAAACCAGCTTTTGCTTCGCCTACAGTGGGTGGAAAGACTAGAGCAAATCACTTATTCCTTATTTATTCTTACCACTCAGGTGAGGCTTCTGTATTAGAGAGAAATTCATCTTCCTTTATGTACTACTAATGACTTTATTATGTTATAAATTTGAATTATATCCAATCTTGAGCTTCAGCGTAGCAAAGCTAAAAGGCAGCGATCTGCTGATCTCAGAGAATACATACACCGACACTCAGGGAGCTTTCAACTTGAAATGCTGTACAATGTGCCTGCAAAGTGTGCAGTTATTCATTTTGCATCACATTACTGCAGCACAAGTGGAGCATACTCTGTTTGAAAATGACAATGAACTTAGTTTGCCGCTGATCAAGCACGATCCCACTCACACCCTGGTTCTTTTCAGGCCCCATCGCGCTCTCTGTCAAGTGGCAAACTCCACTTGTATGTGCATGCTAGTGGTGGATGGTATAATAGCTCCAACTCTCCACACTGCTGATGGAGAATAATGCAGTTTCTGTATGAGTGGCTCTGGCTCTATTCTACAGACCTCTGCACCTGGAAAATTGGGATTTTTGTAGATGAGTGTGTGTATGCGCGTGTGTGTGTTTATTTATGCATGTATACAATTGAAGAGGGAGCCAGCGCAGCAGCTTATCCTCTCCATGCCTTAACAGAGAAATTTAAATTTACATGTAAAGTAAGTGACGAGGGAAATCAATCTTACTGACAGACTTTAGCGCTCCGAGCCACAAGGGACAAGACGGAGTTGGGTCTGCATTTGTGTGGATCAAACACTGCTTTGTACACTTGCTGACAGTACACAAGCTGGGACTTTTATGTTTAGACACTAACATGCACACAAAGCTCCTTCACAGATAAAGTTGTTGATAAAAGAAATGGCACTCTTTTGTTATAACTCAGATATGAGCCTGCAATTTTAAGGGTTCTGCACCAAACTGCTATTCACTAGTATGACTGGATGTGATGAAGTAGGTTCACTGTTTTTTTCTTCCCCTTGTATAATCCACTGTTTATATATTTTTTGCAGCCAACTGTAGTACAGATGGACCTCTGCACAGGGAGGCCTTTGATATGTGGTTCCCCCATCCCTTCCCACTGACACACACACACACACATACACACCCCGCTCCCAGGATGGGGGTGGAGGGGGTAGAGAGGGTGGAGGGATGGACATATATTTGAGTGGCTCTGACATGTCTGTTTGTTTAACGTGCATTATATATGAAAGACCAGAGTGAGGGAGGAAAGACCATGGCAGCAGGGCAGCCAAACAGAGCAAACACGCAATGCAAGAGATAGAAAGTGAAAGAGGGCAAAGCAATGCTGCTGTTTACAGCTGGGTAGACAAACTGTAGGTGGAAAGCTTCAGTTTTCAGCACAAACACACTAGATTTAGTATCACAGGCTCAACTCAGACTGTTAGGTAACTCTATCTGAGATGTTATCATGCCTTCTTTTAGAGGGAAGAAGGGTTTAATGCTGGATAACAGCAGGATGACCATCCATTACCATTCATCATGTCATATATATTCTCTCAAATCAAATATATATGAAGCTGTTGTTCATTATGGGAGGAAGACCGTTTGCAGAGGACTTATAGATTGAGCCTGTAATGTAATTGACAGATCCATTAAGGCTGATAGAAGTGTAAATAATTTACCTGTGTGTAAGTGTGTGTTCGTGTGTGTGTTCTCCTCAGCACCCCTACTTAGAGTTACTGAAAAACAGCAAACACAAAGGCATTTTCCCTCCTTTAAGTATAACGAAGGGAGAAGACAGTGAGTCTGACAGACAGAGCAGACACATTTTCAGAGAGCATTAAAGCCACGAAGGAGCTCCTGGAGGAAATGGATGTGTATGTGTTTCTGAATGTGTGTGTGTGTGTTTGTGAGTGTGATGTAGCAGGAGGCTGAGAAAGAGTTTTTGAAGGAGGTCAAAGGGGAGCTTAAATAAAGGAGGAGGACAGAGTTGAAGAGTTCAAAGGAGCAAAAAATAGTCACTGCTCCGAAAAAGAAAAAAAGAAAGAAAGAAAAAGCTCTTATCGCATGAGATCATCCAGCTAAAGTCACCCAGAGAGGCAGGTGTCGGCTGATGTCAGCGTTTAATATTTGCTGTAATTCAGTGAAGTCAGCGACTTGTCGAGACCTTGTTTGCAGGATTCATTAAGCGAAGTCTGCGGATAAGGTAATCTGCCTCATTACATTAAAGACAAAGGCACAAAGTGAAAGAGGAGAGGGAACATTTTGCTTTGTTGTGGCTCTACTGCAGTGTGAGCTGACCTCTAGAGGGAGCTCTTATCATTCTAAAGTATCAAAACGCTTTTAGCTGGGTGATGCACTCAGCTCATAATTTAACCATAGCTTTTGTGTGATTTGAGCCATAAAGCTCAGGCTTCCCTCAATCCCTAAGACTCTTTGTTTTGGGCCATGAGACGACACAAAGTCCCTCTGGCAAAAGAGGGCGAGCCAGGTTTCTGGAGCTCCCAAAAGATCAGTGGCAAGAAAGAAACCCACATCCTGCTGGCTTTGGAGTTTGGTCTGTCCTAAACTCAGTGACCAGTGTAAGAATTGGAGAGACTGTGAGAAGACTTGATGCCTGACTTTTTTTAACCATCATTGACTGGAACACTGAGTAAACATTAAATGCTGGGACTTAACACTGAAGTATTTTAGGCTTGCTGTGTAACCTGGCAAGTATACACTCTTTTTAATGAGATATTTGAGGCAAAAGAAAAACATATGGCTCATCCCTTTGATTCCTTAGTAAGTTCACTGCTAATTACGCCACATAAATCTGTATTACATGTGGTTAATGTGTGAGAATGAGGTTCCAGGATTTTACATAATCACCATATTTGGAAAATAATTGCTACCTGTCTGTACACTTATGTTTAAAGTCTGATGATATTAGAATTATGATACAATTCTGAACTTTGATGCTATTTCTGCTGATTGCTTTGAAAGTGTGAACATAAATTTGTGTGTGTGTGTTTTTCTTGAGCCAAACTTGCCTGCATGCTGTTTAGTTTCTTTATGATTAATGATATAATACAGAAAACTAAAACTAATAAGATTCTGTTTTTGCAGTTACACACTAGTTATTGCAGGCATACACCATTATGTGTACAGCGGGCACACACACACCCCTCCATTTCTCCATTTTCATATACATATTTATTGAACTATTGATGTTTTTCAGGCTCCAGTGAAAACACTGAAAGAAGTATTCATTTTATTTGTGAATGAAGCACAGATAAAAAGCATTTGGAGGCAAAAGAAAAAGGAAATCCGAACAGTACAAAGGGCTTATTATTGAACTGTTTTCCCCTTGTTCCATCAAGTGAAGACCAATAGTTTTGAAGGCTTAAATGATCCTCTGTGCTCATCATCAACTGAAAGAATCTTTGGAACTTCACTGATCTGATCAATACTGGCGCTGATTGAGACAGAATTAAATTCAACGCGTGTGCTTTCATTAGGAAAATGATATGACTGAGCCAGATGGCTTTCATTCTTTTCAGTCAGCCTCCAACCATCAATGCTGTTTCTATATGCTCATTTCTGTTCAAGTCACCACTTTCAAATAACAGCGTAAGTGTTGGGAAAACAGCAAAATCAATGACGGGGTAAAAACCCTACACTGGATATAATGTTTCCCTCTTATGTTTTTTTTCCACATCACCCTGAGCTACGTAGGCTAATTAAACTCCAGGAAACAACACAAACTAATGACTTGAGTGATTTGCCCGTGTGTTTGTGTGTTTGTGCAGCCAGAGCTGTGAGGTGGCGTCTATGTCTCTGTGATTTTAAGTGCTTGTGACAGCCGTCACTCTCTCCTGCTGTGTTTCCACTCCACATTGGTGTGAATATGTGTATTTGCGCCTGCGTGTGTGTATAATCATTTTTTGGTA